GAGGTACAAGCAGAGTGGGGCAGAAGTCATGAGCATGTACAGATATTTAACCTAAACATTCAACGGAGCTCAGGTGAGGAGCAGAAGATGCCAGGTATTAAGTCTGAGGGATCTATGGGGTTGGAGTGGCATTGGTAGAGCAAAGGATTTGGGGTAGGGGAGATTCTATTTCAGAAAAGATAAGAGCTCAGCTGTGAGCATGCTGAGTCAGTTAAAATCAGCGACTAAAGTCAAGCTGGAGACAGGGTGTTGGAGACCACACTTTGCTTGTTGAGGAGGAGCCCTTCATGAGAACTGAAGTTTAGTAACTCCCCAGGAAGAGGAGTGAAGGAAGAAGGCCAAGAAAAGACCCAGGAAAGGAGTGAGAGGAGGCTTGGAGGACCCAAGCCAGCATGGTGCTAAGAAAGCCAGGTGGGAGAGGACTTCTAAAGGACGGTGCAAATGGCCTCAGCTCTGTGCCTTCCTATTGCCATAGCCTTGAGTACATATATAACCTGTACAAAGGGGCAATATTGCCTTTTTGGGAAAGTCATGAGATTAAATAAGAACATCCGTGTAAATTCCTGACAGAGAAAAGCACTTTAGAATAGCTCTAATCTATAATAAAATATGATAAAATATTCTTGCTGAACCAATAAAAATATTAAATGTCTAAGAGTTGGAAATACACAAAATTGAGTTAAAGAACACTGCACGTCACTACCAAATGACAAAATAGAAGACCTGGATAAATTAAGAGGCATATCCAATTCTAGGATTAGACAACTTGATATTGCAAAAATGTCAGCTTTTCACAAGTTAAATGAATTACATTTTACTTAATTGCAGAACAAAATTTACTTAGAACTTGACCAAATCAACACAGATTAAAATGAGAGATTCTTTTCATCCAGGAGATTAGAACAAAAAAATAAAATGTTTGAAAATAAGTGGTCTTGACAAAGGGTGTGGGAAATAAAAACCTCTACAGGTGGGCATGTAAATTGGTGAAGCCTTTTGATTTTCGAAAGGCAACTTGCAAGTATGAGACTTGCATACTTTTCAATCCATCTTGCAACATCAAAGACTAGCCTATGGAAAAACTCAGATGTGCACACTTTGATGTTCACCCCAAAATGCATTGACGCATAATTTAACAATGAAAAATTATACATAAACCTGAATGCCAATCAAGAGATAAGTAAGTAAATAAATTAGGGTACATCTATGCTCTGCAGTTACTTAATAGACAGCAAGGTATATGTACACATATCCTGCAGAAAAATATCCACTAGATAGTCTAAAGTGGTTACATAACAATCTGTAATGTTATGTACCAAAGGCAGTGGTATACGAATAAATTTGTGTTTGCAAATGAACAGAGAGGCCTGGATCAGCAGGTATCTGCCCAAATGTTAACTGTAGTTTTCTCTGAAATCATGAGTGGATTAGGGGAAGGGGAGGGGAAATTATGTTTCATTTTACACTGTCATGTATTTGAGTATCTTAAAAGAAGACTCTATTAATGTGCTTCTTGGGTAGTTAAAATTTATTTTGGAAAAAGATGTCAGTGGGTGGTGAGCATATGGACACAGTAGACGTAAACCAAACCCATGTAACACACAACATAGAAGGAGATAAATTTAGGATGATATTGCTGTCGGGAGTAGATGCGTCAAAGACGGCTATTATTATGCTTGCTTTTAAGCTGGTCGCTACCCGGACATGCCTAAAAGCAGAAGGGAAGTCTTTCAATGTTCACCCTGGTCTTTGTATTCTCTCCCCTCCAAACACCTCACACAAAAGTTGAAACTGCCATGTAGTTGATCAACAAAAGTTGAAACTGCCATGTAGTATCTCCCTGAACTTCTGCGATAATTCCCCATTTCACACATAATTGCATCAATCCAGTTGATATGGGTGTTAGCGCTGCCCCCTCAAAATGGCAGTTTCCTCTCTGAAGACAAAGGGATCCTCTTGCTTGCCCCACTTACCTGCTGCCCCCAAAGGTTTGCACAGTGCTAAATTAAGTGATTCTTTAGAAGATATATGTACTTCGAGTTTTTTCCAAAAATAGAATCAGTAAAATAAGGGATCATATAGAGGGGGCAGAGCCCTCACCATATCATTTTATTTAAACTTTGTTGGAGCCTATTATGTTTATGAGAGTATCATCAAGATATCCAAGAAATAATGAAGCCCCAGCATGGATCTTGAGCCGCCTGGAAGAAATCATTTGGCTAGAAATAACACCATCATACCGGGCATGAGGAATAAACTTATAACTCAGCTGGATCCAGTATGTAAGGAGAGATTTGGTGTACATATTTTAAATTCTCTCAAAGCAATTTCACTAAGACATTTCTTTTATGTAAATAAAATTCTCTCAGTGAAATTCTCCTGCAGTTAAATGAGGCTCAATTATACACTACTAATTTAAGCCTGCACACTGCATTCCAACTGTATACCTAATTACCCTATTTAGTTTGTTAATGATCAGATCTTTGTGAAGATATTCGCGTCTATCATTAATCTTTGCTCTAGTTAGATTTCTAGTTGTTTAAAAGAATGAATCCTTAGAAATAATATACTTGTATAACTCCTTTAAAAGTAAAGGGATTTTTTATTAAGGAACCAAAGAAGCTCACAAAACTTATATATTGTATTTATTTATTTATATGATGAACAAGATGGTTTTGGCCACTGACATTTGAAAGCAAATATTTCAGTTGGGAACAGAGACAAAAAGAGTACACTGACAAAGAAAATAAGTCCACTCTCATAAGTGCATTTACGTGAATTGTGAAACGGAAGCTGACTCTAGTAAAGAGCAGAGCTGTTTCGATGGTGGGGGTTTGGAGTGGGGTGTGAATGTAAGGATTTCTGAGGAGGTTGCACTTCAGCGGAAGGTAGGAAGATGAGAAGGGCTTATTCATGGATAAGTGGAGCTAAGAACAAGGTTAAAGGAAAAGTATATATGAGGTGGGAAAAAACTGTGGCATATCCAAGAAACTGACACAAGATATAGTTTGAAAGTAGAATTGATAGGACATAGAATTGGTCTGAACGCCAGGATGAGGCAAAGGCGACGAGGACCAAGGTGGCTGCTAGGTCTTGGTGAGGAGCCCTGAACAGGTGAGGAGTCCTCCTGTCAGGAATAAGAACCAGGGGGTGCAGCACTGGCTGTCCATGGCTGACCTATTTTGGATTTTGGGGAATTGAAACTAGCCCCATTATAGAGATAAGGAAAGGGGAAGGAAGAGAATGCTACTGAATGTGCTTGTTGTATCAGGCGGACTCACATTTAGAAGAGGTACATCAGCGTTATTTCCTGTCCCCCAAGATTTCTGCATTTTGGGGCTGGAAGGGAGTGTGTATTTCAGGTTGATCGTCTGTTCCAGTTGTGGCTGCACAATACAGTGCTGATTAAAAGGCAATACGTGCAAGAAGGAAAAAATAAATGAGGGAAGGTCAGAGCACGGTGCTTCAACCCACAATGACTGCTGACCTGGTCTGTGTTGCAACCCAAAAGGAATATAAGACACTGGGCTTATTGGCAAAACACATTGAAAATTAACTGTAAAGTCTGTTTACCTGATACAGATGACATAGGATTATGGGAAAGAATCTGGAGAAACAGGAACCATAAAGAATGAAAATAGACACTATGTTGTGGCCACTTAATATTATGGGACAATGGTTTTTCACACTTTGGGTTCACATATTAATAGGTTGTGAAATCAGTTTCATGGATTGTAGCTTTATTTTTTTTAAAAATGAAATAGAAGCGCATAGAATGTATCAGTATGTATCAGTGATGATAAATATTCTGCAGTTTTGTTTCAGTACACCTGTGTGTACATAAGATTATGTGTGTGTTTGTATATTTATGTGTGTATTTATGTGTGTGCATTACTGAGTTCTAAGATAAAATGTCTTTTTTCTATGCATTTCTTACTGAGAGTCAGAGCAAAAAATGTTTGAAGAGCCTTTCTCGACATGTTAGAGATGGAATTGTTACTTTTCTGACTAGGCTTCCGTTTCAAAGCAAGGCTAATCGTCTTTAAGCTTCAGCTGGTATACCTGGGATTCTTAAAGTTCTCTCTTCAAACACTGCTGCATTTTAAATTAAAGATGTCTGCATTAGTAAGTCCCCTGGTTCTTATTCCTGGCAGGGGGACTCTTCACCTGTTCAGGGCTCCTCACCAAGACCTAGCAGCCACCTTGGTCCTCATCGCCTTTGCCTCATCCTGGCGTTCAGACCAATTCTATGTCCTATCAATTCTATTTTCGAAATATATATTGTATCATTTTCTTGGACATGCCACAATTTTCCCCACCTCAAACACATGCTTCAAGACTAGCAAGTCTATAAGGTCACAGGCTTGGTTGCATTTATAATGGGAATAGCAGAGAAAGCAGTTTATTTTTTTTAAATGCAACATCGTTTGAAGGTATTGGATTATGTTTGTTTCCCGATGACACGCGATGATGTCAAAGGAAACTGCAATGAGTTTACTGAGCCGTCCATACAAATATACATGCAAATATATGTACCTGCGAGAACATCCAAGGGTAGAAACCATGTCAGATGGGGTCCCCCATGCCACTCCCACTCCACAGCCTTTTGGTTTTAGATAGTCTGACCCCATGAGAATCTCTGAGGCTGGCTTCCATGTCACAGAGCCTTGCACTGTGAGAGTAACTCAATTCCCTAAATGACTTTCCCAGATCTAGCTTATCACAAACTCCATTGCCTTGCAATATCCTTTGTAACAAAATGGTATTAATAAAATCATAGAGCAACTGCCCACCATATGCAGACCTAGTAATGGAATTATAGGTATCTAAAAGGCTAATTCCTAATGAGAAGGAAAGGAAACATACCACAAAGTAAAAGTGCAAACAACTGCAGAACAGAGGTAAACACTGTCAGTTGGATACACGTAAGCACTGATGTAAAGAGAGATAGAAAATGATATATCTGGTTGGGCAGGTGGTTCACGCCTGTAATCCCAGCACTTTGGGAGGCCTAGGCTGGCAGATCACCTGAGGCCAGGAGCTCGAGACCAGCCTGGCCAACGTGGTGAAACCCTGTCTCTACTAAAAATACAAAAATTAGCCAGGTGTGGTGGCGTGCACCTGGAATCCCAGCTACCCAGGAGACTGAGGCAGGAGAATTGCTGGAACCCAGGAGGCAGAGGCTTTGAGCTGAGATCACGTCACTACTGCACTCCAGCCTGGGTGACAGAGCAAGACTCCCCCTAAAATGAGAAAAAAAGAAAAGAAAAGAAAAGGATATATCTATGATGAATTAAGATGGAGTGGAACCCACTGATGGTATGCAGCGGATAAGATGCTACAGAGAAATGATATCCGGACACACGGTGAGAATTTTTCCCCTCTGTAAATCATAATTCTTGTGATTCTTTCAAACGGAAAGCCACAGAAGGTACCAGTTATCCACCCACCTACTTAGGCGCCTCCACTAGAATTCTCAGCATGTTTCTGCAGAAGTAAGATATCTTCACAACTGCTCTGACACTTCTTAATCTCCTTTTTCTTTTCTTTCTTTTCTTTTTTTGACAAAGGAAAAGTAAACTACTGGCTTAGAGTCTTTGGAAGAAAATTGTCTATGACTAGAATTTAATAATATTGTTTTTCTTTCATTGTATTGCATTTATCTATATGGCTAGTTAAACTGATCTTCCATTTAAAAGTAGTAATGTAATGCTTTTTTCTTTTTTTTTTTTTTTACAATTACATTGTTTTAAGTAAACAAGAATTATTCAAAACACAAAAATACTAGCACAGATGGTATTCAGTGATTGCAGATATCATAAGGATAGTTCATGAATCACCAGCATTTGAGAAGCACTGTGTTCATGATGTTTCCTGGAAGAGGTGGATTATACAGTGTTTCTTGGAGAAAGGGATAGCAGTCTACTGCCAGGAGGGAGAAACGAAGCTACTAAGGTGGACAAGGAGACAGGCAGTTGGCTTTTCCTCTTCTTGGAGATCACAGCCAAGGAAGCACAGGAGAGGCACCCCCTGGAGGCGCTCCATGGGCTGCAGGGCTGACATGGCCCAGGTAAGTGGGAGTTCTGGGAGGCTCAGGGGTTGGTGCCAGGATAGTGGTAGATGATTTTCATTTTCAGACTGTGAGACAAAAGATAGACGTAAGGGAGGCAAAGGTGAAATCAGGATGGTTAAAGCAGGGAATGCTGAGAGCAGAGCAAGGCAGGTGCTAAAGCTGTTACTAAAACTGGACAGCAGAAGGCCTGGCATGGTGGCTCACACATGTAATCCCAGCACTGTGGGAGGCCTAGGTGGGTGGATCACCTCAGGTCGGGAATTAGAGACTAACCTGACCAACATGGTGAAAACCCATCTCTACTAAAGATACAAAGTTAGCCGGGCATGGTGGAAAAATGCCTGTAATCCCAGCTACTCGGGAGGCTGAGGCAGGAGAATTGCTTGAATCTGGGAGGCAGAGGCTGCGGTGAGCTGAGATCGCGCCATTGCACTCCAGCCTGGGCAACAAGAGTGAAACCCCACCTCAAAACAAAACGACGATGACAACAACAGGACAGCAGAGATGGACGATGGGTCGGGAAAGCTAACCAGGCAGCGTGAGGCCAGGACAGAAAGAGGCACAGGGACCTCCACTCAGTTTTGCTACCGGGGATCTCTCAGGCTCACAACGGGTCAGTCCTCTAGGGAAGTTCTGGCCTCATCATGATCCTTCTTTCATCTCATTCCCCATGTCCTTCCTCTGTCCCTCCTCCCACTGCCATTTATTTATTTAACTGAAAAAGTACCAATCACCCACATATGCATAAAATACTCATCCATGTACTTATTTCTTAAAATTGATCATTGTTAACATTTGGTGTCATTTGCTTTATTTTTAATGAAAGAAATAAAACTTTACAGAAAATGCTTTTTCTTTCTTCCCTCCCTATCCTATCTTTTTCTCCTAAAAAGCCCTATTATCAGAAATATTAGTGTGTATTCCCAGTTTTGATTTTTTATTTTATTACACACACACTCCCACACATAGATGTGGCAATGAACTTCACATAGTATGATTCTGTATTTTCTCTTTGTTTTTCAAACTTACAAAAGTATTTTACTATTTCTCATGGAAAAACTCACTTTTCCCATCCAACATTATGTTCTCTTAAGATCTATGTTGATATAAAGAAATCTAGTTCATTCTTTTTAATGAAAATTAAGTATTATATTTTATGAATGTAACTCATGCTAACCATGGCAATAAAAGCTCCATCAAGCATCGTTTAGTTCTATATTTTGTTCAATGCTGTATTCCCAGCCCCTAGAACACATACAGAGTAGTTGCTCATTAAATGTTTGTCAAATGAACGAATCAATGAATCCACTCATTCCACTGCTGACAGGCAGTAAAACCGATGGCAACTTTTCACAAACCTTTACAAGATTCCTTGGCACCCACATAAGAGTCATGCTAATATGTCTACCTAGAAATGTATATATTGCGTTGATAGCTTTTGTGTTTTTGGTTTTGTAGGATTCTCTGAAATGTTGTGTGACTTCTTAAGGGCTTGGCACATACTGTGGGCTGTTGATGTGGCTGAGGGGTTGGCTCTCACGTGACCACTGCAGAGAGGCTGTGGGCTGCCTGCGCACTTCATAAGCTCCTCGTCCCCCTCTGACAGCTCTTTGCAATGCTTTGTCTTTTCTTCAAAACTTTATATATATATATATAAAGATATATATAAAGATCTATATAAAGATATATATATTTATCTATTTATATCTATATATTTATACATAGATATAAAGATATATTTATATCTTTGTCTTTATATATTATATATAATATATAAAAATATATAATATATATTTATCTTTATATATAAATATATTATATATAAAACTTTATATAAACTATATGATATATAAAATTTATATAAAATATATAATATATATTTTATATATAAATTCATTCATTTATATAATATATATAAAATTTATATATATACATACATATATATTTTCAAAAACCTGATAAGCCTTTATCAAAAAAAGTGGGTGAATTCTTCCAAGTAATGAAATAATGCAAAGTATAAAATAAAGAGGATAAACAGATCCACAGCTAGGAACACAAGGTATCTTTGGCCCAATGGGATTTTGCCTTCGTGCTTTAAAGCACAGTCACTTTCTGTGCAAGGTTGTAAGTGTGCACCACAAGCTTTAGGTGGATCTAGCCCTGTATAAACAAATCACTAGTGTCACTGGATCAACGTTAATGTACATTTCTGTGTTCAAGCAATATCATGGTCCATTAATTACATGCACTGCAATTTAATGGCCTTGCCGATCTTAACACTGTGCTTTTATTTTATTTTTGTCTAGGCCTACCTCACCGCTAAATATAAATGGAAGAAAGCATTTGAAAAAAAACTCTAAAAATGTGTATGTTTATCATTGCAAAGCAATTCTTAATGGATTTTGTAAACGTTGCAAAATTAAAAGGAAAATACAGTCTGGACATTAAGCCTCCTTCCAGGTTTTCAGATTCCAAAGCTTTAGTTGAAGGCAGTTGAAGAACGTACAAGGCTGTTCTAGAGACTTCTGTGAATGTGAATGAATGCCATTTGCTACAAAGGCACCTGCCTGGTGCTGAGGAATTGACCTTGGAGCCGCAGCCCACGTAGAGCGGCTGCAGGAGAACACTCGGCGCCCCCTGCTGGTCAGACCGAGATCCCGCAGCGTGGCACATAGGGCTCCACGGCACACATGGTGTGGGAACCGCAGGCTGAAAAACACTCCCAGAAATGAAATAGTGAATGCCTGTGGATCTGGCTGCACCTTTACACTTCCTCGTTAATAACACATGATTTTTTGCTTTATTAACCTATAAGCACGTCCTATGTTTACACTTCTTGGGTTTTGATAGAAACTCGAGATCAGCAAAATTTTTTTAATGAAAACTTGTCAAACTATTTCTCCACTTAAAGTGGAAACAGTGATGTTTTTCTTGAACTCCACTCCACATTTATTTATATTATTTTTAAATTTTATTTTTGCTTTAAAACCACCTAATTAATTTTCTTTTATACTATTAAGGTAAGTTTTGGTCATTTCTGTCATGAAATGTACGTCAGAGTACATTATTTGGAATCTTATTTTTCCATTTTTTTCAGGTAGTTTAATATAGTCAGTGAATCAGAAGTGAGATGTAGCAACTTCCATTTCTGACTATGCAAAAAACTAATTATTTTGAAAACTCCAGGTATAAGACACTTAGACATGCTACATAAATATAATATTGACTTAAACGAACAGCAGGTTTCTCAAGTAAGAAAAGTCCTCTGGGCTCTATAAAGGAAGAGGGAGGTGAGTACCTAACAGCAAAGATCTTGTTGATACTATCTATAAGTTCCCTGTGGCATTTGCACATTTAGGGGAAAAAAACATAGTTTAACAGCAATGAGGAAATGGAAAGCTGTTAGTCCTATACAAGTCCTACACAAGAGAAGTCTGCAGAAAGCTACAACTTCAGTAAAAGATTGGACCTGAAAAAAAAAGAGCCTTTGCAAATACCCTTGCCTTCCTAGCCTAAGCTTTATGTAGGGATTATGTCTAACCATAGTACTCGCCTTGCTCTGGTTTGGGATTTGTATTCTCACTGTCTGCAGGGTCCAATAGACCTCACTCTAGAAAGTAACATATAGTGACTCCGCTTCTAAGGACATCTGGCAAAAGCAAAGACAAATAAATCTTCCCTGGAGGAAGGAGCACAGAGAAATGTTTACAGATGAAGCTTGATTCCTCCTTTCCAATCTTGAGCTTCCAATACCAAACCTCTAACACATTAGAGAACAATTTATCATAAAAAAATGGTCAAAAGAAGCAACAGAGTCCTCAAATAATGAAATAACTCAATACTGTTTACACAATAAGTATTTTAAATGTTGTAAAACTATAGAATTGGATTAAAAATAAGATACATGAACAAGAGTATATCATAAAATATAAAAATATTAGATAAACAGTAAAATATGTGCAGAACGGACAGAAATAAAACACATAACCCTTGACATAAATATTTATATTAGATACAGTTGGGAAAAGCTAGTGAACAAGAAAATAAACTCACAGAAATTACTCAGAATATTTCCTAGAGAGAATAAGAAGCATATAAAAGAAAGAAAGATACATATGAAAGAAAGGTTAAGAGACTTGAATAAGAGATGGAGGAAATCCACATGGCTCATTACAGATCAAGGAAGAGAGAGTAGAAAAAAATGGCAGAAAGCAATATTTGGGAAAACAATTTGGAAATTTCCCAGGATTGATAAGAACTAAGAAAGTTTGCCAATAGCAGGCTTGCACCTGGAACTAAAGAATGTTCTTTCAGAAAGGAAATTGTACTCAAGAATGAGATGCAAAAAGAAGGGTGGAGAAAGAACTAGGTATGCATGAGTAACCCTTAACAAATAATGAGTGTATAAAGTGATAATAATGGCAAATATGATTGATATAAAAATCTAGATGCATCTAGAACACTGGAAGACAATCACATTTCAGATGGGAGGGAGGTCACAAGAGAGGGTATCATGAAGTCATGTGTTCCTCGATATGAGGTAGGTCAGCGTGCTGTATTTGTGGGTGAAGAAAATCAATCTCTTTAGTGCTTTTGACACTTTTCCACAAATTCCATTTCACCGACATCTTAACCTGGCAGGCATCTCTTTACTGTTTGAGGAACCAGACCTTGTTCTTTACAGTTTCCATAAGGCTCTCGTGGTCATTACTCTAATTAATCTTCATAGGAAAATCACAGGAGTTAAGGCCATTTTAAACCCCCCTCCTCCACTGATAGACCAGCTGTGTTCTTTGAAAATATTTGATAAAACTCTAAGCATTGAAAACTTTACATTTTGGAAAGTGTGTTCAATCCTACTAAAACCTATTACAATCCATTCAAATGCACATACCCTATTGGAGTAGGGTGGTATCAATTCACCACTCTAGGTAAGCCAATTTTGCCTTTTAATTTCATTCCCTATATTTTCTCCCCACATTTTACCACTTAGCAATTGTTTACAAATTCCATGTAGAACATGCTTATTGCATGTTGGCTTTTCTTAGCAATTCTTACAGTAGATATAGTGTACAGTATAAATACCCTGTGCCATTCAGAAATGGGAGGGATACAAGATGGTAAGTTTACTCTTTCCTTCAATGTAATTCAACACGTATTTAATAAAAGATATTCCTGCATAAAAGATGAATAAAAATCCCCAGTGTTTCAAGATAATTTGCTCTCTTCTTGAGAGTACAAAACGGTTTTCTCCAATGTACATTTTACTCATTTTGATATCTTCTGATAAATTAGTCTCATGTCATGCTGAGAAAACTTCACTTGTCATTTGAGCAAGGATATCATAAAGTCATTATAAATGTCTAGCATTGAAACCATCTTTCTTTCATTTCCTGGTATTAAATTTTAATTAGAGAATATTCTTTTAAACAGCCAATATTTTATGAAGAGAAATAACAAAAATGAGGACCATTAAAGAAACAGCTAATGTTCTAAAAAAGACATCTGATTAGTGGGCACCACTTCTTTCTGGTACATTCCAAAGATATCCACTGTATTTGGCCAAACCACAATACATTATAGAAAATCTATGCTGAATTACCATCATAGGATTTTTCTCATTAATACTGTCCAGGGATATCGACTAAATTATTTGCTAAATTCTCCAAATCATTTTAACCATATGGACTAAGTTGACAAAGAGCTTACCATGTGAACCATAAAGTACATCAGAATCTGGATTTATCTGACCCAGGTTAATGAAAAGAGTAATAAACCACACCCTAAACTCTCATTTTTGAAAGAAGATATAGCCTGTTACCATCACAGAATGGACAAGTACTCTC